ATATTTTGTACGGGGACCTGTGGAATTAGTTCTGTTTTGTCAACTGTAATAATGCACATGTACGGACACAGCTCTCGTAGCGGTTTTTTTTATCGGGTCGTATGGTGTAATTAGTCGAAATGATCGGGAAACTTTATCAATGAAAATTGCCTATTAAACTGATAGTTTTGTATTTCAGCGTAATTTACACATAATGGCTTCTAAGAGCAGCCAAGATTTTTCACGGAGACTGCGAGGGTTGGTGGCTAGGGTTGCCAGAACAGAGCAAACTGTAAATCCAAAAATGCTACTTTTTAAGCGCGAAGTAGTCGAAGGCTGTGGTAGCGTTTTACATTCGATTGCTGCATACGTTGGTGTATTCGCCTGTTCCCCTTTCCAAAGTCCCCAGTCATCATGAAATAATTGGCCAACGCACAGGCTGCCCATGCGAAGATGCGTTCTTTGCATGGTTCCCCGCAGTTTTTGTTGCTACCGGCACCGGTTTTTTCGGCAGATGCTTCTAGCTAAACAAATTAAGACTGGCCACCAGAATTGTCAGAAAAAATTCCGTTTAAAATTTCAACTTTCTAGCTTCCCTAGCGCCTGAGTTAGCAACTTACTGCAACAAAATTTTCACGGGCCCATGCATTTTGCCAAGCATACCTGAGAGCTGAGTTCGGGCTGAATGAAACTTAGGTAGACGGGGTATATCCTGTTAAAACTGCATTCCTTTAGTTTTTCAGGTACTTGAGTTATCAATTTATACGAAAAAAATTTTGGCGGGCCCGTATGTGGGTACCACGCCTACCCGGGGGCTGGATTTGAGTCCACTAATACCCACTTGGGCGGGGAACATTTTTCCAAGATTTCAGCCTTCTAGCTTCTCAGAACCCCGAGAATTTGCGCGGAAAAAATTTTGGGGCGCCCGTACGCGGGTACCGCGCTTACCCGGAGGCTGGATTTGAGCCCACTAATAGCCGCTTGGGCGTGGAACATTACCTCAAGATTTCAGCCTTCTAGCTTCTCAGATCCTCGAGTTATGAACTAACCCCAAAAAAAGTTTGGCGGACCCGTACGCGGGTACCACGCGGGATTTGGCGCCAGTTTCGGGATGGGGGTCCGTACGTGCATGTAGATTATGTCCCCAAAGTTTCAGCCCCGTAGCTTTTGCCGGT